AGGGAAAGATTCTGGGTCTGAAGAAGCAAGAAAGGGAAGTTGAGCATTCGAATATTAAAATAGTACACAACTCACTTGTCGGCTTTGACCCAAGAAGCAGAGATACTTTGTTAATGGGCCTCAGTAGTGGGAGAGACCAGAAATGTTTGTGCCCAACCAGATTTCTTCCCAGCCTGGCCAGTCCCACCCTTCTCCAGCTCCAGATGGGTTCCAACTTCCACTTCTCTCCTGGCACTTCGCCCTTTGGCACTTGCACACTGGCCTTCCTTGGGTGCTCTTGCCCTTGCCCTTGCCATTTGGGCTATGGGTGTGGGACACACACACACACACACGTATGTACACACACACATACACACACACACACCTCTAATTCATCCCTGGGAACACCTGTGGATCATGCAGGAAAGGCAGTTTTCTACAAGTCCAATCTCTTCTTCCCTGAGAGAGGGAAACTCACCTGAGCTTGCTTCAGGAGCACCTCTGGTCCTGGAGGGCCAGCAGGTCTGGACTGTTGGGGAGCCGTGAGGAGGCTGGAGGGACCGTGGCCCTGGGGCCGGCTTTGCTTTGGGCTTCAGGGCCGCCCTTCTCATCCGGGAAGCAGTATCACTGGCTGAGGCTCTGTGGGAGACGATCAGAGATTTTCCTGCCTTCCCCCAATCCCGTTAGAGGGGAAGTCACAGCAAAAGATCCACTGTGCCAGTGGCGGGGAGGAGTCAGGCTGCAAGCATTAAAATCCAGACTCTTGTACTCAATAGCTGCAAATTTACCTCTTAAAGCCTGGATTCTGTCTTCTGCAAATTGGAACAATAATATCTACCATTAAGGGTGTTGTGAAAATTAAATGAGCCATCAAGGTGAAGTGCTTAGCACAGGGCTGGGCCTGTGTTAAATGCTTTACGTTTGTATGTGTTTTCCACTCTCTAAATTGGCTTGGGATCCCACTCCTCCCTGTCTTCATTCCTACTGAAGTAGAATTGGATGAGGGCTAAAATAAATCTGAAAATCAGTCAGACTTTTAATCACTCTGGCCCTTTCCTCAATGACTCATGCCCACCCCTTGCCATTCTGCCCAGCCTTCATTTTTTGATCTGAGTTGAGAATCTAGAGAGAGAGGAAGACTGAATGCGGGGAGGAGAAGCGGCAACACTGCACGTCAGGGAGACCCCTGGATGGAGAGAAGGAGGGGAACAGCGTCCTTTCTCTCACGGTTACAAACTTCTTGTGAAGTGTGTGTGTGTGTGTGTGTGTGTGTGTGTGAGAGAGAGAGAGAGAGAGAGAGAGAGAGAGAGAGAGAGAGAGAGAGAGAGAGAGAGATTGAGAGAGAGAAATTGAAAGTCACTGGGCTTCTCTATCCCTCCAAGCCATAGGGTAAGGCTCATAGCATGGATTGTGTTGTTGATGCACTGTGTTATCAGAGCTTCCTGTTTCTCAGAGCACTTTCACCTCAGTTAATCATTTGATCCCTGAAGTACCCTGTGGGGAGGAAGGATGGGCTTCCTTATCCTCTGCAAGGTCCAGAGAAATTGCCTGTCTCTCACAGCGCAGTGCGCAGATGGCAGAGCCACCTGGAGCAGGGCCTGTTTTGAAGGACATAAAACAAGGATGTGTTGGCTGGAGGAGATTCGGTATATATATTTAATCGAGATGAAATTCCCATAACAATATTAACCATTTTAAAGTGCATAATTCAGTGGCATTTCATATATTCACATTGTTGTGCAACCACCACCTCTATCTAGTTCCAAAACATTTTCACTACCCCCAAAGAAAACCCCATACCCATTAAGCACCCACTCCCTGTTCCCCTTTTCTCCCAGTCCCTGGCAGCCACCATTCTGCTTTCTGTCTCTGTGGATTTATCTATTATGGATATTTAATACACATGGAATCATACAATGTGTATGGCCTTAGTGTCTGGTTTTTGTTTTTGTTTTCACTTAGTATAGTATTTTTGAGGTTCATTCACATTGTTGTAGGCATCAGTACGTCATTCTTTTTTATGGCTGAGTAATATTCCATTCTATGGATATACCACATTTGTTTATCTACTCGAGGGGATTTTTAAAATAGTTTGGTAATTAATTTTTATTGTGGTAAAATAAACATAACATCAGAATTTCTATTTTAATTAGTTTTAAGTATATAATTCAGTAGCATTAAGTACATTCACATCGTTGTGCAATATTACCACCAACCATCTCTGTTGGAAGGGTTATTTTTAAATTTGCATTTTTCTTGAAGCCTCCTATAGAAAAACTGTTTCTCTACTCATAATACTTCTGACACCAAATGTGTAGGGTTTTCCCCCCATTCCAACTCTCTGGACATCAACTGGGTATCTTATAATTTAATTCAATTCTGACATCAGCCACCTGGAGTAGGTTTCAAAATCCACAGGTTTAAGGGTTCAGTCCCACAAGAGTGTCCTCACTTTAGATGCCAGTCACAAGAAAATGGGTCCCCAGGGTACCCACATGGTTACACGGTTACAAAGTCAGCGGTTCCCACACCCGCACCCCTCCCCCCACTTAGTTTTGATAATTTGCTGGAACTGCTCACAAAACTCAGGGGAACGTTTACTTACATTTACTGGTTTGTTATAAAGGGTACGAATGAACAGCCAGATAAAGAGGTACATAAGGTGAGGTCGGAAAGGGTCTTGAGCTTCTGTCCTCATAGAGTTGTCGTGCACCACCTTCCTGGCACGTGGGTGTGTTCACCAGCCCAGAAGATCTCTGAACCTCATAGTTTAGGGATTTTTATGGAAGTTTCATCATGTAGGCACGATCGATTATTAATGTAATCTCCAACCCGCCCTCTCCCTGGAGGATGAGGGAGTGAGGCTGAAAGTTCCAAGCTTTTAATTAAGGTGTACTCTTTCTGGTAACCAGTCCCCATTCTGAAGCTATCCAGGAACCCACCAAAAGTGACCTAATTAGAACAAATGGTGCTCCTATCACCCAGGAACGGAGGGCAGAAGCCAAATATATATTTTTTATTATGTCACACCTTCACTCACACATCAGACCATGCCTAGATCAAGAAATCTGTCATGATGAGCTATGATGATGTAAAATGTGGTTTACTTTGATTTTTCAGACAGATCTACTCTCTCTTTCTTTAGGATCTCAGTTTCTAGTCTACATATGTCTTTTATCAGTAAGGAGCCTTCTGAGAATTTTTGCTTTCTTCTTCATGCCTTTGACCCATGCAGATGGAGTCTCCCCCAGACCTAACCCCATCCTGGGAGATCCTAGTTCTGGTTTCTGTTCTCTCCACATGGACCACACATTCCGACCCATGGCCATTCCCATTCCTCCCCAAAAGACTGCATTTTAGTGGCTCATGTCTCCTGGGTCTCTGAATCTTCTACCCCAGGACCTTTTCCCTTCCAAATGGAGGCAGCCTCACTTCCACCTTCTGCCCAGCCCCCGACCCCTTCATATCACCCAGTGTGTATTTGCAGCCAGAGGAAGAGATGGTGGTCCCTTCTGGCAGAGACACAGAGAAAAAACTGCTCCCTCAGGAAGAAATAAGTGATAGCTCTGCAGTTTTCATTTGGGCGTTTTTCTTTGGAGGGAGGAGGTGGACAGCTGGAAAGAGAGACTGAGAGCAAGGGAGAGAGGGAGGGGCAGGGAGCCCAGGCTCCTTGCCAATCTGGGCAGGAGAAAGGGGGCAAACAGCTTTGCTCCAAGCAACAGGAGCTGCAGGACTGAAACAATTCCTGGAAATTTACTCTTTCTTCTTCCTCCTCCCACCCCTACTTTTTTTTTTTTTTTCGAAAAAATGTAGACAAGACATTGTAATCAACAATCAGAAAGGAAGGAAGGTACCAGGGAGGAGTTATTGGGAGGCACAGATAAAGGCAGGCAGCTTCCCAGGGTCAGGTGGGGGCCAAGAGCTTGTGCTCTGACCCTTGAGGAAGGACTGGGGTGGGTTGTCCCAGGAATCCACCCCCTACCACTCTGTGGCCTTTGTGACCCAGGGCCCTACTTCATGTGGCAAGGGCAGGTGGATTGTAAAGAGCTCAAGGCTGAGGAGTTTGGCAACAATTGCACTCACATCCCCAGCCTGAGCTTCCAGAAGAAGGTCAGTGAGTGCAGAAGCCAAGTCCAGCCACAGAATTTGCTCTGCCCTCCTGCCACAGCTTCCCTCTGCCAAGCAGGCAGCCCTGTCTGCTCAGTAGCAACAGATAAGGGACTTCCCAAGCTTCCCAAAAAAGGATGTGGCTCAGAGACCCTGTTCCCAGCCCTTTCCTGCTCACTCACATTTCACCGTGGCACAGTGGAGGTAACACTAGTTTGGGGACCAGACCTGGTTCTGACACCTTGTTCCACCACTTAGTAGCTGTGTGACTTCAGGAAGTTAGTTTGCCTTGCTGAGTCTGTTTCTTTTTATGTAAAATGAAGATAATGATGCTTTCTTCACAGGGTTATTATAGGGTTATTCACAGGGTTACATATATTATGAAATGATATATGTAAAGTGCTTGGCATACGAGTGGCCCTTTTATACTTCTTGGGAATAAGGAAGAAGAGATCCTTCTTGTGGAATTGATCTTGAGATACCTGTCCCTAGCCCCACCACTACCAGCCACTTTTTCCCTGAAATGGATCAACACCAGCTTCCTCTTTTATTTAGTTGTCTGGCATTGTGTTTCTTACATAGAAGGTTAAGAACATCCTCAAATACCCTTATGAATTACCACAGGAGAGATGTAGTAACAGCTAACATTTATTGAATACTCATCATTTGCCAGGCACAATTGCAAGATGCTTTTCATGTATCATTTAATCTTCATAACAACTTAATGAGATGTGTACTGTGGTAGACAAGAAAACTATGGCACAGAGAGGTTAGACAGCTTGCCTGAGTCACAATGCTAGGAGTTCAGTAAACTCTGGTTACAGAGATTCTTGACTTGGGTTCTTGGCATGTAATGGCTTTAGGTGGTCTGTGAACTCCCTGAAAAATATATACAAAATCCTGCCTATTGTGTTAAGTCATATTTATGGGGCTTAGAGCCTTCCTTAGATTCTCAGAGGAGTCTATGATGTCTAAAAGGTTAGACGTGACTGCCCTAGAAGAGCTTCTCATGGCCAAGAGCTAGGATTTTAAAAACTGGGGTAGGGCATGCACTTCTGTGGAGGTGACTCGGCCCTGGGAATTCTGGGAAATTTCTTTAGCGAGGGAGAAGTCCTCTTCGTGGAGGCTGAGAGAAGCATGGAACGATCTGGGGAGGGGTTTGAGAAAGGGACGGTGAATTGTCTTTGCTTCCCAGCCCTTGTCCTTCCACAAGATGAAGGACAACCATTTCCTCTCTATGATTTCCCCGAGAGAGTGGGTATATGGGATGTGAGTGTGTGTGTGCGCAATGTTCGTCTAAGGACGAGGAAGCATGGAGAGACTGATAGAGACTGGAAGGCCCCAGGTACCATTCCCGCAGGGACACTGCACCACCCAGCAGCCTCCCAGTGTGCCTTGGCTCTTCCCCCTGCCTTTGGTTTCCTATCTCTCCCCTGGCTACTTACTGTTCCTCCCTCAGAATCCCCCACCTCCTGATCCCTCACACCTGACCTGGGGTCTCTGTAGACGTGCTTACAGTCCCTTTCTGATTCCAGATTTATCCAGTTTTGACAAACTTTGGTTGAACACCTAATGCGTGCTGGACAGAAATTCCCCTTGAATTCTCCAGGGCTTCCTGTGGCCCTGACTTCCCAAGGTTTCACCATTTTCATGGCAACCCATGGATTCTTAGACCCTCTGAGAGTTAGAGTTGAGAGGACCTGCTGAAGTCATCTTGATTCTCTTCTCTCATTATAAAGATGAGGGAAATAGAGGCTTTGGGGAATCTCATATTGTCCAACAATGTAAGAAGAGCAGGTAAATGGAGAGGGAAGCAGGATCATCTACCTCAGCATTCACCTCTCTCTGTTAGAAGCTAGGCACTGCCAAGTGCTAGAAATATAAAAATGATGAGACTCAGTTCCTTCTCCCCAGGAGCTCCGAGTCATCAATGCTCTAGTGTTCAGCATGCTCGGGCACAGTCCCAATCTCTTCAATAAAATGAAACCATTGCTTCAGTCTTAACCTGAAGCTTCTGGATTTCTGTCATTTCTCTTCCCCCAAAACAATGATCATTGAGCCATTTTGTAGCCCTTTGGGAAAGGTGTTCAAGATGTTTGGGCCCACTTCCAGGAGTCCTTTCCAGAATGTCAGAGAGCTGTGGACTGACAGATCTCTGATTTTTGCTGGCATTTCCGGAGGGACACAAACCATTGAGACTTGCTGCAAAGATCCACCTGGGGCTGCAACTAAGTGGCTATTGGGGTTTACAGCCATCCCTGGTAGCGAAGTTAGGCACCTATCCTTGGTCCCTGTTAAAATCGATCTTTTCTGCCTTTGGAATCTGTGTCTCTGCTTGGAATCTGCACATGTGGCTGGCAAGGGAGAGCCTCGGCACAGGAAGGGCAGAGGGCCATGTAATTGGCACCCAGGGCTGGGGACAGGGCATCTTTGAGGAGTAAGAGGATCGCGACTGTCAGGCCCGCTTTGCCTAAGTCCTTCCATTCTACCCGCCCAGCCACAGGGACATAGATATCTCACTACTAAGTGTGCCCACACCATTCCTTTCTCCACTTTCTTTGCCTCTGAGGTCAGACATCCCCCATTGTCTCCAGAATGCTTTCTGCCCCTGAGAGGTACTATATAAGCAAGGGACCTTATACTCTTTTGCCTTCTCTGTCTAATCTAGAAACTGACAGAACTTAGCTTCTCAAGAATGAATTCTGTGTTGAGCCATATGGGGAGACCCAGGCTCAGAGACTAAGCCAGCTGCCAAGGTCACATGGTGGTTGAAGCGGGGCTGGATTTTGAACCCACAGGTGCCTTGATTCAAAATATATCTTCTTTGTGAAAATCTCCAGTAGGTCAGGGAGACCAGAGTCCTGGACTTGAGCAGGAAAAAAGGTAAGAGGACAGCTCTGAAGCCTGAGAACACAGACACAGGGGGCTCTGACGTATGTATGTGTGTGTGGTGGGGGGTGGGGTTGGTGGGGGTGGGCAGTGGAAAGGAGTGGGAAGACCAGGAGAAGGTGGTTACAAAAAGTACCTGTAGGTCAAGGGGTGCTTTGAGAAATCCATGACATGAGAAATGGTGTAAGTGTACCAGAGATGAAGTTGAGGCCAGAATCAGTAATACTCACTAAAAGTAGTGAACAAGAAAAACCTGAGGACTCCATGCCAGAGAGCCTGGAGGCTGTCACACCAACTCATACCCTGTGTGTTCTTATGAACACCAGTCTGAACACTGGTCATAGTCTTGTTTTACCCTTGCCTGTCTGCCATGCCCTGCTAAGCCACATGGCTGTACCTGGCAACTATCATGGGCCTGTACTACTTTTTGCACTGGTACGGGAGATGCAGGTGGTGAGCCACTTCCGAGACAAGTACGTCTTCATCACAGGCTGTGACTTGGGCTTCGGGAACCTGTTGGCCAGGCAGCTAGACTTGCGAGGCCTGAGGGTCCTGGCTGCGTGTCTGACGGAGAAGGAGGCTGAGCAGCTGAGGGGCCAGACGTCAGACAGGCTGGAGATGGTGGTCCTGGATGTCATCAAGACAGAGCATCGCTGTGGCCACCCAGTGGGTGAAGGAGAGCACGGTGACAGAGGTGCTGTGAAGGTTTCTCATTCTGTTTCTTCCCTCTCAGTGAAGGGGAGATGCCTGGTCTGCTCTCTGGAGAAGATTCTCAACATGTTTTCCAGGACTTGACGTCATACTAACTTTCTGCACCTCACCCAGCTTACTGGCTGAGCCTCTTCTCCTTCCACTGTGCCCCACCTCCCAACCTTGGAGCTCTGCAGTTTCAGGGAGAGTGTGCTCCAAAGAGAATTTGCCCTTGCAGAATTCCTTCTCTCTCAGCAAAGGTTCTGGATTTCTTGATGTTGAGTGCCCAGGGGTGGGGGAGGTCAGGGTCCATGTTCTGGTGGAGGGATGGGGGAGGGGGAAATGGCCTGAGGCTTAAACGGGTGGCTGTGGGGACAATGCTGGAGCCAGGCTCGTGTTCTCAGCACTTTAACATGTTCTTGCTGGTGACATATAATCGTCTGACCAGGGAGTTAATATCACCTATTTTTAGATGATGACACTGAGCTTTCAGGATTTGCCTAAGGAAGGTCAGAGAACTAGTACAGGGTCACTTCTTCTCTCTTTCTTTTACTACAACTGTGCCTGCCTTATTATGGGGGAAGAAAAGAGCAACAACTTCCTTGATCTAGATATAGATGTAAAACATGATCAGTGTGGAAAATGCAGAAAAGTACAGGGACTAAAAAATTACTCACCCAGAATCTGACTACCTAGAAATAAGCATTCTGTTAACATTCTGACCTACATGGTATTACTTTTCTTTTTTTGGTATTTTATTTATTTATTTGTTTATTTGTTTGTTTTTATGATGACATTGGTTAACGAAATCCGGTAAGTTACAGCTGTACATTTTAACAGTAAGGCATATATATAGTTACATTATGTGTTCACCTCCCATAGTTAGATTTCTTTCTGTCACAACATATTTGACCCCTTTTACCCCATCTACCTCCTTCCTCCCCTCTGGTAACCACTAGTCTATAGTCCATGTCCATGCGTCTCTGTTTGTTTGTCCTGTTCATTTATTGCTTTTAGGTTTATATCCCACATATAAATGATATCCTTTTACTTTCAACTTTTTCTGTCTGGCTTATTACGCTTAGTATGATTATTTCGAGGTCCATCCATGTCGTTGCAAACAGTATTACATTTTGCACAGAGGTCGTGTCCTAGTCTTATTAAAAGGCGATGAGGAATTCTACAATGTCATGAAAATTTCTGCAAAAACTTAATTTTTAGTGACCAAGAAATTTCTATCCTTCTGAATAACATTATTTACTAAAACAGTATCTAATGATGTGATATGAAATTGTTTCCTACATTTTATTCATCATATTCAACATAAAAGACATCTCGATAAACTTCTTTTTACTCATGTCTCTACTCTATAACCATATGCATTAATTGGATTCTTAGAAAGAAATATATGGTGAGAGAATATGGTTCCTATAAGGGCAGGGCATGTCTGAGCAGGCTCAACCCTCTGGGTCAGTACTTTCAGACTCCCTACTGCCACCCAGGCCCAGTGTCCTCCTAATCCCTGCTCCTGCTGTCCTGAGGTCTCTGGTTGGCAAATCTTTATACCCTCCTGACTGTGTCTTCGAGTCTTGCAGAAAGGTTTTCGTGGAGTTGGGTGAACTGTGGACCCAGGGGGATGAGGGGTGAGTGGCCTCCTTTGCAGGTGGGAGAAGGTGGCATTGTCTGAGGCCAAGGGTGTAGTCTGTGCTCAGAGATGGGGAGAGGCAGCCTTGGGTTCCCCTCAAAGCCTGTTCCTGGAATTCTCAGAGCTTCCTACAGGAATGTTACTTTATATTGCTGCAGACCATGTGCCCTGAGGACAAATCCCAGGCCTGTTCTCTACCTCTCCCTGCGCCTGAGATTTCAGGTCTGTTTTACCCAACCAACGTCTCCCCAGATATCTTTCTGTCCTTTATCCATTGTGGTTTTCTTCCTTTCTTTTCTTTCTTTCTTCTCATCGATAGTTGTTGAGAACTTGTACTATGTAAGTTGTTCAGACATCTGAAACCGTGGGTGAATATTTCTAGTGTCTGCAAGGACAACATTAATACATGAAAATCCAAACATGACACTCACTCTATGATCCGCACTGTGGACTGTCTAGATTTCCATAACATCATTGCTGCCCCATCAAATCTGGATGATTGCCCTATGTCTACCATGAGGGGCCGGGGCCACTAGGAATAAATCAGGAGGAAAGCATACTTTCTGTCACCAAGAGTGTACAGGGTTTGCACTTTCTCAAATCCTGCAGGTAGCATGTAGTTATCGGTTTCACCCATTCCCCATCTCTACCTTCCTCCTACTGTCCTCACTAGATTGGAATGTGAATTGTAACTAATGTAGAGAGGAGGCAAGAGAATTAAAAATGTTAATCAAGCTACTGCAATATGCTGATCAGCCCTGCAGCCAGGACAGGAGGACACCTTCAGAACAAAGGAAGATTTCTACTGGGATTGCTAACAACCCATTCCCCAAACCTGTGAAGGGGAAACAGCAACAATAGAGTCCTTAAGTAGCTGCCCTACACAAAATAAAATCATTCATTCCCCATGGCTGAAACCATGGGCAACCTATGGATTAAAGTCTCTGAATTGCCAGCAGGCTTTTCACTCTAAATATTCATACCTTTTTATGCTACATACTCTTCCCCTTCCTCACTATATGTCCATATCAAAAGAAATGAATTAACAAACTCTTTCAAACTATAATTCACAGGAACTAAAGAATGATATATAAACTGAATTCCCTGAGCACTCAGGGTCCCTCTCATGGTCTCTCTCACTGTCCATCTCGTTTCTTTCTCTGTGTACTCTTTACTCAGTCTCTCTCACTGTCCTCATCTCCCTTAGTCCCTCTCTCACTCTCTGCCTCTGAGAGGAGACCACACTCTGTCTGTGGAGTGTTATCCCTTTTCTAATAAACTTTCCTTTTGACTCTAACTTTGGCGTGTGTGTGTTGAATTCTTTCTATACTCTCCTCCAAAGGACCCTCTTCTCTTGGTGTAAGGCTTGGTGTTCTCCCCCACTCGGGGAAATTTGCCCTGTCCTGCATCAAAACCAGGCTGTGTCCTCCCTCCACCCCCACCCACACCCTCACTGTGAGCCCAGGTCTGGTGGGGGCGGGGCTGGTGAATAACGCTGGCATCTCTGTGTCCGCAGCACTCAATGAGTGGCTGACCAAACAGAATTTTGTGAAGATACTTGACATGAACCTGTTGGGGGTGAGTAAGGTGACCCTGAATCTGCTGCTCCTCGTGAGGAAGGCGAGGGGCCATTGTGGTCAAAGTCTCCAGTGTCATGGGCAGGTTGAGCATTTTTGGTGGAGGCTATTGCATCTCCAAGTATAGACTCGAGGCCTCCTCTGATTCCCTCAGGTATTGGACTGGAACAGAGACCCTCCCTCTGTCCTCCGCTTCTGTACTTCTGGAGGAGCCTTTTTCAGGTGGTTCATTTCACACGTCCTCAGAAGCTCTTCCTTCAAGATCCCTGTCTGGGAAGGATCTTTTTTGTTCTAGATGTTGACTTGAGCCCCACACAGTAGAGTTTTACTAACCCTGTCCCTGCCCACAGTCAGAAAGCTTCTGAGGCAGAATTGGAACTGATATTATTCAGCTGCTCAGCCCATTCACATACATAACTGCTATGATAATTAGGTTCTTGGGGAGTCCTGTTGGCAGTGTAACCCCAGGGAAGCACTTTATTCAGGGCAGCTTCTTCATCCTTCAGCAGTAGAGTCTCCACTGGCTGGAGAGTGGTGGATGGCTGTGATGTGGGGGAGCTGAGAACTCAGACTAAGAGATGCTCCTTAGAGAACAGATGTCCCGGGGGTTGACTTTGGTGGGAGAGAAGAGGGAGGGGATTGAGGAATATAGGAAAGATAAAATGGTCACAGCCTAGTGATCCATAAAGTGTGACGAAAATACGAAGAGATAGCATTTCAGTGGCGTCTTGCAGCACAACTGGTAAGATTTAAGCTATAAGCAAATATATGTGAAATATTTGGAAAAATACTCAAGCTCTATAGAGAGGGAATTCCATTATATAAGTTTTCTCCCCTTGGCTGCTACACTTCACAACTCCCTGACTGTTAAGCTTATCCCACTGCAATCCTATGTTGGTATTTTAGTGTGTGTGTGTGTGTGTGTGTGTGTGTGTGTGTGTGTGTGTTTTGCTTTGTTCAGCAAGATTCTGATGTCCTTGCCCCTCTGACTGTATGCCTTGCAGGAGGGAGTTCTTCTACTTTGGGGTGAAGGTGGCCATCATCAAGCCAGGTTACTTCAAGACTGCTATGACCAGTATTGACATGATTTCTAGGAGCTTCCAGAAGGCATGGGATTGGGCCAGCCCAGAAGTTAAGGAGTCCTATGGGGAGCAGTTTCCGGCATCCAGTGAGTGAGTTGTGGACCATGGGGAGAGAAGCAAACCATTTTCAGGAAGCCTGGCTTCACCATTAGAGCTTTGTATAGTCTCAGGTCCATCCTCCTGGCTGGCTCCCCCACACAGAACATTTATTTCCATTCCCTTGGTCTTATGTGATCAACTGGTAACCTAAGGAAAGGATCCAGGCTCGTTAGACCTGACATTACTGCCTCCTTTCAACCCCTGGTTATGTTGGGGAGGAAACTGAAGCCAGAGAGGAAAGACACCTATGGACTGAGGGCAAGCTGGCATTAGAACAGCTGGTTTGCAGGTCTTAGATTTCTGGAGTTTATCGAGACCTTTAGTTTACATGTTCTGGATATTCCCAGGAATAGAGTCACAGGTGGTTAGTGTGAAATTGTTGTTCCCGGGATAGTAGTTGGGGCACTCTCTAAGAAATTTGAATGGTTTTAATTTAAAGGAGTCAGGAATTCTGCAAACTCATTCCATAAGTTAAACTTATTGTAGGAGTGGTTGGAGGTGGGAATATATCTGGATACTTCCTCATTCTGGACAGGCATACAATCATTTGGATAATTGGAGAAACAGTGCACACAACATATGGTCTTGGTGATGGACTCATGGAACATGCCCTGACTGCCTGCCATCCCTGTACCCAATACTCACCTGGCTGGTACGCCAAGCTCATCTACCTCCCCATGAACTACATGACCACCTTCCTGGTGGTCACTGTGATATACTGGGTTACTCCACAGACTACCAAGGCCCTGTGACCCAAGACTGGGGTTCATTGTAGGGCAGAGCTGGATACTGTGTGAGGAAGGAGATGCAGCACCAGGAGAGGAATATAGTGGAGTTTGGTCACATTCTCAGTAATGTTATTTAAGTAAAATTAAATAATTAAATCAAAGAATATGCATTTCTTTAAGGCCAGGGAAGTTTTCTGAGCAGAGGAGGGACTAATATTGCAGTCCTTGTTCTCTGTCTAATATTTTCAAGGTCCAACTCTGTCTCCCTGCCCTCCCCCCGCCCCACTCCTTCCCACCACCTCAACTCACCTAAATCCCTGTACCTGCTGACTTGAGGTCTATGGGTCTGTACCACAATTCTTGTGGTGTCTTTTTTCCCTGTCTCTCTCAGAATTTTCCTGAAAGCTGAGTGGGCTGGAGACCTAGGGGGATGGGCAAGGGTGGCCTTTTAGGAGGTTGAAAGGAGAAGGTGACATTCCTGGGGTCAAGAGTACAGCCCACACTAGGGTGTGGCATGAGACCTTCTCACCTCCTCCCAAAGCCTGTCCTGGGCATTCAGTCCAGGATGAACTTTGGAATTTCTCAGCCTAGAGAGTGACCTTGGCTTCCTTAGCAGATATTGCCTTGGAATTGTTGCAGGTTGTTTCAACACTTGTCCCTGATGTCTAATGCAAGACTGTTCTCTAATACTCTAATCCTGGGATTTCAAGTGTGTCTTCCCCAACCAGGTATGGAAAGTAATTATTCATGTTCTTTTTCTTATTTTTTTTCCTTTTCCTTTCTCTTTTCTAGTTTTCTCTTTATTTCTATCTTACTTATTTCTCTCTACCTGTCTCTGTCTCTCTCCTGTGAGATATTGTTGAAGGGTATTCTATTATCTCAAACTCTGGCTGTGCACTTAGCAAAAATGGGTTTATTGCCTACTGTGTGCCAGGCACTGAGGAACAGAAAAATGAGAAGGACCATTCCTGCCATCTGGTAGCTCAAAGTTTGCAAACCCTGACGTCCTGCAGCCACCACATCCTTATTTCTTCTCCTACACTCTTTTTTCTTATACCATGTAGCACATTGTTATTGACACAATAAATAATCTTAATAGGAATGTGAATTGGAGCCACGGCTGTGTCCTCACTGCACGGTCACAGCGCAGTGTCGCTTCCTCTCCCCTTGTTACCTGATGTCTCCTGTGTGCCCAGGATTCAGCGTGGCGAATAACGCTGGCATCTCTGCCCGCGGCACCCAATAAGTGGCTGACCAAACAGGATTTTGTGAAGATACTTGACGTGAACCTGTTGGGGGCGATTGAGGTGACCCTGAGTCCACTGCCCCTCGTGAGGAAGGTGAGGGGCTGTGTGGTAAACGTCTCCAGTGTCATGGGCAGTTTGAGCATTTTTGGTGGGGGCTATTGCATCTCTAAATAGGGACTCGAGGCCTCCTCTGATTCCCGCAGGTATTGGACTGGGACAGAGACCCTTCCTTTTCCAGGCATTTCATTTCACATAGCCTCAGAGGCTCTTCCTTCCAGAACCCTCTCTCTTGCTTTGTGCCAGGCATTCACTAGGAGGCACTTTTTCATCTTTTTGGGTGTCAGGATGGACCCTAGGTCAACAAAGTTTGATTCACCCTCTCCTTGTCCTAGAGGAGGGCCCACCATCAGAAAGCGTCTGAGGCAGAATTGGAGCCGGGTCACTTGGCTACAGAGCCCATGTCCTTAACTCCTACAGTATTCAGCTTCAGATTGCTGTTGAGCTGAGCGTAGATCATTTGACTCAATTCTACAGATACTTCTGGGCACTTCTGTGAGTGCACAATTAATGTGTCTGAGGATAACAAGATTTGATCCCTGACCTTAAGACTGACAGCTGAGAAAGGGACAACACATTTAGAAATTATGTGGCCATGGTTTGTGATGGTTGTGACCATGTTGGCCATGGTGGCCATGGTAGCCAGTGGAATGAGGGGAGGATCCTGGAGAGGGGTCTGAGCTGAGGATTGAAGAACTGAACCTGGCAACCTGGCAGCATGGCAGAGTAGGATGGGCAGGCTCCCTGGATGTGAGAATGACGTCAGCCCAGGCCTGGGTGAATAATAATTGACTGTCTATGAAACAGGGTCTTCCATGGATAAACAACTAGGCTTGGCCTGGCAAGAGGATGCTAGAAAGGTGGACATAGTGGGCTCACAGAGGAATGTGGGCCCTGGACAGGCTGACGGCGGCAGATCTCCGCAGAAAAGATTAAATCAGGGGAGCTACTTTGTCAAATCAGCCTCTAGAGAACCCACTGGGAAGGTCAAGGATGGCTCTGAATGTGGGGCAGCTGAGACCACAAGCAGAGTGATGCTCCGTAGAGGATAGATGACTAGAGAGTTGACTAGAGCAGGAGAGGGAGGGAGGCAACTGAGGAATATGTAGGAAGTAGAAAGAGCGAACTAGGGAGTGATAGGATGTAAGGTAATATATGAGGAGATAGCATTTAAATGGTGCCTCAGAGCAGACTAAGTAAGATTTAGAGCAATAAGCTCACATAAGTAAAATATATGGAGAAATATTTTAACTCTATACAGAGACTATGCCATCTTCATAATTTTTCCCCCCTAGCTGCTGCACTTCATAACTCCCAAAGCTTTCATCCTACTCAAGTCTGTTTGGGGATTGTATTGTTTTTGTTTGTCTCCCAAGACCTCTGAAGTCCTTGCCCCTCTGCCTGTCTGCCTTGCAGAAGGGAGCTCTCCTACTTTGGGGTAAAGGTGGCTATCTATCATCAAGCCCCGTCACTTCAAGATCAACATGAACAACCTTGAGATGTTTTCTTGGTGCTTCCAGGAAACATGGAATTGGGCCAGCCCAGAGATCAAAAAGATCTATGAGAAAAAGTTCCTGGCATCCAGCAAGTGAGCTGTGGACCATGGGGAGAGAAGCAGACCATTTTCTAGAAGCCTGTGTTCATTATTAGAGCCTCTGATAGTTTCAGGTCTATCCTCCTGGTTGACTCACCCACACAGTGGGGGCATTAACTCCAATGCCATGGTTCCATATGGTAAACTACTCACCTAAAGAAAGGGTTTAAGTTTGTTAGACTGGGAACCATGGTGTCATTGAAGTCCTCATTAAGCCAGAGAGGAATTCTTTGAAACTTTCTTCTCAAATTAGAGCCATAAATTCAAGAGGAGAGATGGGGAAGTACATAAGGGTTCTTTCTCATTTTGAACAGACATCAAAATAACTAAAAATATTTTGAAAAAAAATACAAGTTGAATCTATTCTTGGTGATAGACTGCATGAAATGCATCTAATACTCTCTTGCCTGGGAAGTGAAGTTCATCTACCTCCCCCTGAGCTATGTGCCCACCTTTCTGGCAGATGCTGTGGTCTGCCGGAGCTCACCCCCACAGCCCTGTGACTCAAGACTGGGGTATGCTGGGGTCTAGCTGGGGTGCTATGTGACAGTTGATGCTTCATAGGGAGGAAAATAGGGTGGAAGGACTGAGTTCTCCAGTCTCTAGTGTCATGTAACTTACTCTCCTCACCTCTGCTTCAGGCATCTCCCAAGACTCTGGGAATAATAGGAGAGAAAACCGTGGCCCCGAATCCACACTTTTGGGAAAGTGTGAACACTGGGAGGGGTCTCAGCCCCATTTGCTCTGCCTCTGTTTACCTTCTCAGAGTGTGACTTGGCCCTGGTCAGTATCTCCCTCCCAGAGGACGGAAATGGCCTGGAGGAGGTGAAGGCCCCTCTCCATTGAAAATACTGTGGACAGAGGTGGAGGCATGGAAGGCAACCACCAGGCTGACTCATCAGCCTCAGGCACCGACTCAGCAAGGAGGCCCGTCATCTGAGAGTGGGCAGCATTCCCAGCCCTAGGAAAATAGCCTTCTATGTGGTTCTGTAGCCCTCCAAGCCTTTATGGCTCAAATTTTGTAATGTTGGGAGTTCGAGCCCAGAAGAGCATTGCCTTGGCCAGCGGTCCACAGAGAAGCTCATGAGATGGTGAGTCAGGCTCAGATCTGTGTTGGGGCAGTTCCAAGTCATCCTTTTCCAGATCCAGAGTCAACCCCTGGATCTCACCTGTCTTCTGAAGAACTGGATTACTCCTGAGCCTGCTCAGCCCTCAAGTGACATTGTCTGACATCTCCCAACCAAGACTTCTCTGTTTAGTCATCCAAGAGGCCGAGTTGGGAAACATCTCCTAGATCCAGTGTAGGAGATGGTGTGCGTTGGAGTGGTTATGAAGTAGGTGAGGTTAGCTGCCATCACGTCCTATACAGGCTTTGGGTTTGCTCCCACTACCCTTGGTATAGAATGGCCAAGCTCTATGGCCTTTTCCAAGGTGACATCTGCTTTATTTGATTCTAGAGCTGACCAACTTTGGTAGATAGTAGAGCATAGAGATGTATTCTTGTCCCTTCACTCTCTAGACAGGGAAGGTGTGGGCAGTTGGCCCTGGGTCTCTGGGGATAAGCTGGTGACCAGGCACAACATGAAGAATGGTGACCCCAGTGGTTTATCCATGAACCACTGTAGACTCCAGCATCATTCTATCTCTGCATCTTATGTAATCCTGGGTGTGGCTCCTCTTTACTCACACCTGTCTCACATCCTTATTTCCTTATCTTTGCCAGTTTCCCTCTTACCTTTCTATGAGTTCTTTGCCCCATTTCCTGGAATCTCTCCCTTCTCTCCAAGTCCTGACTCTGAGAAGTTTCCAAGTTTCTGGCTCCAGTCCTCTGCTCCTCCCACATGCCATCCCCTCTCGGAGCCAAGGACTCAGCCCCAGCCCCTTTCTGCAGCTGCTCAGGGAACTCGTGACCCATCCTCATCATCTGCCTGGACCTCATCTCATTGATACTCATATCAGAAGTCTCTTCTCCTGCCTTCCTTCCCTATACTTAAAGTGTCCTGGCTCCTGACTTCTCTTGCCACCTGTGGTTCTACCTGTTTTCAGCCCCATACCTTAGTTTCACTTTGACTCTTGGCCTCCCTCCTCTCTGCACGTCCAGTTAGCCACTGTGCCAGTTGACTTCATAATCCCTTCCTACCACTGTCATCACACCCCCTTCAGGCTCCTCAGCTCACCAAACCAAAGGACAATTCCCAGTGGGGGACCTGCCCCAGGGTTGTCGATATGTCCCCAGTCCTTGACTCCCTACATTTGCCTGGCCACAGGGTGAGTAGAGAGCTAGGCTTCCTTAGAGTGTACTGGGGGCTCCCCATCGGTGGCCTGAGGATCATTTCCCAAGGACCCAGGCCCTGAGTCCCTTAGTCTTTCTGCTTTTTGGGAGTTGGGGCCTCACATCACCAGCTTCCCTTACAGAAGGGTCCTGCTGCCTCTGGCCTTAGGACAATGGAGGCATATCTACTCTGGGACAAATGCTTTGTTTTTCATCATCTCATAATGAAAACTCACTTAAGGGCAGAGAATTCCAAAGGGCTAATAACCTCAAATTCATCTCTCTGGGGGTTTGGAGGGCAAAAAAAAATTTTATTTTATTTTTTACATTAATGAATTTTTCTGAATTTTTTTCTCTCAAAATAAAAGTTAATTTTATTTACATGTCTACATTTATGACAAATGATTTTGATCCCTGCCTGGACCAGAGGTGGAATATTTCCAGGAGGGCTCTGTGGGCTGACTCCCCCTTTCTCATTTACTCTGCTCAGATCACCCAAGTGAGCCCCTTCTCAGCACCAACATGACCACTGGGGTCTTTCCCATCCTTGGCACCTGCACTCATCAGGGCTGGGGGAGAGAGAGAGAGGCAGCTGCCAGAGCTGTCTGAGGTGACAAGGCTTCAGGTTAGACTTGAATTTCTTGCATCTGGGCTAATTGGTGTGGTGATGTATCCACCTATAAAAATTATAGGGTGGCTCACTCAGGGGCTCTGTGTCTGTTGCCAGCAGTGGAAGGGAGGAGAGCTCTTCTTCTCAGCGGGTTCCAGCAGACTGCCAGTTGGGGCTCAGAGGACCAGCCTCTCCCACTGCCTCCTGAGCCCGATCCTTCTCGGCCATCATCTCCTCCCTGCCCTATGGCTGCTATCACGGACCTCTCCTTTATGTACCGCTGGTTCAAGAACTGCAATCTTGTCCGCAACCTCTCAGACAAGTATGTCTTCATCACAGGCTGTGACTCGGGCTTCGGGAACGTACTGGCCAGGCAGCTGGTTGATAGGGGTATGCGGGTGCTGGCTGCTTGCTTCACTGAGGAGGGGGCCCAGAAGCTTCAGCAAGATACTTCCTACCGGCTGCAGACCATCCTACTGGATGTCACCAAGACTGAGAGCATCCGAGCAGTGGCCCAGTGGGTGAGGAACCAAGTAGGCGAGCAAGGTGGGGTAAATTGCATTCTTTGGCTTTCTCAGTTTATTCTTCTTTTTCTTTCTTTCTTCCACAGTCATCTGACAGTTATCAGGGACGCAGTTGTTTGCATGGGGTAGCAGAAGTGATAAAGAGAAAGGGGATGAGGTTTTGGCTCAATGGGACTGGAAGCCCTTGCATGGTTTGATCTGTCCACATAAAGGGGTGATTTCCCAAGGAAGATTTTCCTCCCAGAAATTCAGAGGAATGGAGGCAGGTTGCCAAAGGGGTGGGAGAGAGAAGATGCATTCTGTATGTCCAAACCTCTAAAGAAGGAGTTGCCTCTCTGGGCTTCAGTGGTCCTGATCATCAGATGCTCCTATAGAAATGTGAGCGCATTTCTTGTCAGGATCAGGCTTGCGGGGAAAGGGGACGGGAACATGGGGTTGGACTCCCTGAGTGGGAACATTTGTTCTCCTTGGTAGAGTCAGGTTAGAAGGCTGGGGAGAGAAATCTGTCCTTTTCCTCACATCATGTTGGATATCGCATTGACCTCAAGGTAAATGCCCATGTCAGAGTGGCTGCTCCTATTGTGAAAGAAGGCTGTGGGCTGGGGCTGGACCAGAAATGTGTGGGAACCTGCCCAGGGAGCTTCCTGCATGCAGGGTGTGGGCCCAGGAGTGGGAGGAGCAAGATGGCTCTGTCATAGAAGCAGCAGCCTAGGGGAAGTCCTGACTCCTAGGGAAACTAGTCTGGGGTCCATGCATGCAGGTAGGGAGAGCCCTGGGGACTAGGAGAGGCCAGGCAGGAACTTCCTGCTTTATTTTTTTCCTTCACATTTACTACTATCCAATACAGTTTATTTATTTTTCTTCTTTATTGTCCATTTCCCCTTCTAGAATAAAGCTTCCTAGGGGACAAGACGTTTTGTCTCTTATTTACTGCATATATTTAGTACTTAGAACAATGTCCAACATCTAGTAAGGTGCCAAATATTTGTTAGATGACCTAAGTAATGAATATTTCAGCAAGAGTGAGTATCCTTTTTCAACAAGCTGCCTCACTCAGTGCCCTGGATTTAGCCCTGAGCCACTGTATTAATGATTCACTGGGTATATTAGTTTCCTGTTGTTGCTGTAATAAATAAATACAGACTTAGTGACTAAAACAACACAAATTTATTATCTTGTAGTTCTGGAGGTCAGAAGTCCAAAATGGGTCTCATTGGGCTAAAATCAAGGTGTCAACAGAATTCCTTCTGGAGGTCCTAGGGGAGAATCCATTTCATTGCCTTTTCCAGCTTCTAGAGGCTGCCTACATTCCTTGGTTCATGACTCTTTTCTTTTATCTTCAAGGCTAGCAGAGTTGGGCTGTCTTTTGCACACTGCCATCTCTCTGGTTCTCTGTCTTCTGCCTTCCTCTTCCACTTAGAAGGACCCTTATCATTATATTGGTCTTGCTAGGCTAATCCAGGATAATCTCTCTATTTTAAGGTCAGTCGATTAGCAATTTGAATTTCACCTGCTACCTTAATTCCCCTTTTCCATGTAATCTACCATATTCAAAGGTTCCAAGGATTAATGAAAAGCACTGGGAAGTTGGGGGAAGAGGTTCGAGCATGCTTTCTTACTGCCCCTGAGAGTCTCTGGACATGACAGGTTGACTTTATGGCTGTTTGCACTGCTCTGACACTTCTCCAGTTGCTTTTTGCAGAAAAAAAATTAAGATTGCCCTGGATCCCCAATAGGCAGAGCCATTTACCAGGGATGGTCAGAGGGATCAGCGAGTGTGTGTTCCTTCTCCACAGGCAAACATCACTTGGGTTTTATAGTTTCGAGGTCTCAGGAGCTTCATTTCCTCCTCTGTAAGACAAGAGAGTCCCCTCCCGCTAGAAAGATTCTGAGTCCTGCCAGTCAGTTGGTCTCCTGGGGTCTCTCTAACTGGAGGAAGGCAGGAAGATGTGGTGGGAGCATGGATTTTGTGTGGACCCCGGGGCCAAGGGAAAAAGTGGACCATGACTGGTGTTTACATCCAGACTTCCCCTCAAGAGAGAGTGGAAAGTGTACTCAGAGGAATATCTTGAGCTGCAGAGGCCGAGGTCAGGGGTGGCATGGGGAAGGGGAAAGGAAAGAACCAGGCCAGTGGAGCTCATGGGATCTCTCAATGAAAGAGCTGAAAAGTGTCCTTGGAGATCATGTAGAGGCTTTTAGCCTCAAATATCCTCCCCAAAGTGGAACTTTACTTGGAAGCTCAATACGTAAAACAAATGAAAGTTGAGCTTCTCCTACATCTCCCTCCCTTAGCAGGTTCTGGGGTTCAGCCTGGAAAGCTTTCAGAATTGCAAACCACAGGCTGGAAACAGCTGTTCTAGTCCAGTCAACAAAAAACCTGAGGCCCTGGGAGAGAAAGTGACTTGACTAAGCCTGGAAGTAGAACCAGTACTAGAACTTGAGCTCTTTCAGCCCGGGTCCCTGCAGAGTTGAATGACAATACTTAGCATTATCTCTCTCCAATTATACCAACTCAATTTAATTATCTCAGAGAGCCCTTTACACATTTTCCCACAATTATTTTATTTAAATATTTCATGTATTTATGTATAAACGTTATTTATTTCTTCTCTGGTTTGTGAGCTCCTTTAGTGATAAGATCCTGTCTTGCTTACTGTATGTCTCTAGTAACTTCTGTAACTGACAGATAACGGATGCGTGAATGAATGAATAGATGTGTGAATGGATGACTAAATGGAGTGATTTTGGTAACGTGTGTAATAGAGTTGGTTTCTTATACTTAGACAAACACAGAGGGGGAAGCATAATGGGGGAAGGAACTCAAATATTTATTCATTGATATGAAAATGCTATCTTTTTTCCTCAGGGCTAATAGCTTAGATTCTATTAGCTAGAACCTGGATTGTTAGCTGGTATAGGGCCCAGCTAGCTGGCAGACTGTGTGAATCAGAAAAAGTGTCCCTTTAGGGAAAGCTAATTAGCAAAAGGCACATCTTCCTTCAGGCTGTCATAACGCCCCGCCCCAGGCCCCAGCCTGGCTGTCTTGTGCCTTCTGCACCTGCTCAGTCATTCTCGGCAGCCCTGAGCTGGTGGGTAGTAGACCCTGGTTCTTTTCCAGAGACACCGCTGATTTCTGTGTGGTTCTCTCTTCCTGTATCTTGCCCCCAGGCCTCTGGGCCCTAGTGAACAATGCTGGTGTGGGCGTGCCCAGCGGTCCCAATGAATGGCTGACCAAGGAAGACTTCGTGAAGGTGATCAATGTGAACCTGGTGGGACTGATCGAAGTGACTCTCCATATGCTGCCCATGGTCAAGAAAGCCCGCGGTAGGGTTGTCAACATGTCCAGCTCTGGTGGTCGTGTAGCTGCCATTGGTGGTGGTTACTGTGTCTCCAAGTTTGGTGTCGAGGCCTTCTCTGACAGCATCAGGTGACTGGGCCCTGTTGCCAAACCACTCTGGGTGGGAATCCTGGGGTGTCACCCCAGGAAGAAAAAGCTGGGGGCAGGGAGTTCTGAAGGGAGGAAGATAAAACAGTAGCAGGAATAATGCTAGCCCTCAGGGGGCCTTTCCCAAGGTCAAAGAGAAAGGATGAGGAGAGGTGGGTGGTGATAGGAGATTATCTTCCTGCTCCTTTGAGCTGTCCCAGAATAAGCAAAACCCCCTTTGGGCCTGTGGGAGTAGGACAGATTGTCCCCAAAACAGACAGAGAGGCCTGGGGGCAGATGTGCTTGCGGGAGAATGCAAGCTTTGCTTTGAACCCCTCACTCCCTTTGCCATGTGAGTGTTGGGTATAGAGCTGAGTGGGAGGGACCCAGTGAGAGTCCTCCCACTGGGTTCGCCCAATGTGAATTGCCCAGAGACCAGGCTTGGGGTTTACTTGCATGAAAGCAAAGCCCAGCCTGGTGCAGGGGTTGGGATAGCACCTCCAGGTTCCTGGGGGAGATCAGCCCCTTTAGAGGTGTCAGAGGGGACTTTCCCTGAAGATCCTTTGTCATCTTGGAGTCCCAGACTGAGTCCCACTTTTCTTTCCCAGGCGTGAGCTCTACTACTTTGGGGTGAAAGTCAGCATCATTGAGCCGGGGAACTATCGGACATCCATTCTGGGCAAGGAGGGCATAGAGACCCGCATGCAGAAGCTGTGGGAGCGGCTGCCTCAGGAGACCCGGGATAGCTATGGAGAGGAGTACTTTTGCATCTGTGAGTTCCTCAGGAGGGAGAGGGGTCTCTAAGAGGGACAGGGAGATCTTGGGGGTCACTGGCTTGCTTTAATTTTACAGATGATGGGATGGAAGCTCAGAGGAGTTATGAACCCAAGGCTACACAGCTAGTGGCAGAGCTGGGGTTTGAGAACAGAAACCAAGTGAGCAACTGCTGGGAGTGGCAGAACCCTAGCTGTTGGGGAGATGGGCGTGTGGGAGAGGTGCTGCCCAGGGATGCGGCCCACTCCTGGCACTTACTCCCCAAAACATCATTATGCTGGTGAATCAGGTGAAAATGCACTGATATAAATACAGAGAAGTTATTAAGAGCACAGCTGCTTGAGCCAAACTGCCTGGGTTTGAATCTTAGCTCTACCACTTAACAACTAGGAGACTTTGGGCATATTACCTTGTTGCCCTACGCCTCAGTTTTCTTATCTATAAAATGCAGCTAATGATAGTGCCTACCTCATAGGGCTGCTATGAGGGTTAATATCTGTGAAGTATCTTGCATACACTAAGTGCTTATTAAATCAATATAGAGGAAAAGGAGCATACAAGTATGTAAAAGGAAGAGGCTCTAGGCAGCTCTCTTCCTCGCTGAGCTAAGAGTCTCCTGATGAATCTCAGGTGTTTTTGGAGCTCAGAGGAGAGACATCATAGCTGTTTATTATACTGCCCCAAAACTTCGTGCAGTTCTTCCAGTTTGAGGGATGGATGGAACTCTAACCACTGGGGCTCAAGAGAAGAGGGTGGTGACCTGAGGAGGAACTGGCCAAAAGACCTGGTGGAGCACCTTGTGTTAGGAGACAAAAGGACAGTCTGAGGAACAGAAGTTCACTCAGATCATCTAATCTGGAAGCCAAAGTTTGGTTTCAGGAGAGGATGATTCAGAAGACTTCCTAGTTCTCTCCATTTCTCTGGCTCCAGGCACCTTAGAGTCATCTCTGTAGCTGCCTTTGTGGGGCACAGCATCTGACTTGTCAATAGAAATCGGCTCTGGCACAATTAGCTGGCACCTCCTTGGCAGGTGTCTCACTTCTCTGGTTGTTTCTTTGTGACCTGGCCACCAGCCAAGAAAGTGGGGCTGGCATTTTGCTGGTTCGGGAGGTTCTCTTGGGCCAGAGTGAAGCAGCCCAGCTCTCAGCTCTGTTCCTGCTCCCTTTGGACCTCAATAGTCTAGTTACACATTTCTCTAACCCAGATTTGTTTTCCCCTATCTTTACTTGGCTTCCATGAAATTCCCTGAAAGGCCATTTACTGTTGCAATTAAGCTCTTAGGCTCTGGAACTAGACTGGCTGTCTGAGTGCAAATATTAGCTTTCCTGCTTGCCTTGGACAAGTTACTCAGTTTTCTCATCTGTAATGAATTACGAAAATTAAATGAGTTAATATATATAAAGTGCCTAGAAGATTACTTGGTCGCTAGTAAGAACAATTTGATTTAAAAATTTGGTTTTTATCTCCCCTTAAACTGAGCATAGCTTCTTTTTCTCCATTACACAGGTACCTATAAGCTATCAGTTCTTGTATTGCAAACAGAGATTCTTAGATATTATCCAAAATCCAAAGTGATGAATTTTTTTTTGACATATACCCACAAACTCTGGATAGGTTAAATGTAATTACTTGATTAAATCCACGACAGGTATTTAACTGTCCGGGGTGCGAGGGAGGTGTGCGTGTTTTTAGTGGCATGCTCTCCTGAAATCAGACATCAACAGTGAAAAGTCAAGACACCAAAACCATGACAACCATTTATTCACTTAATGCACAATTTATTGAGAGCTCACCACATGCTAGACACTGTGCAAGGCTGGGGAGTGAGAGTGGACCAAATAGCAGGGCTCACAGCTCACTGCCTGTAGCTTAAGGCCCAGTAGGGGAGACAAATCTTAGCACACGCACGTGTGCACGTGTGCACACACACATACCCACACACACACACATTTAATGGCAAATGTGAATTAATGCCATGGAGAGAAACACAGGGCTATGAAAGAAGAATGGGGCTGGAAGTTGGGGCCCCAGTTTAGATTATAACATAGGAGAGGGCTTTTCTGAGTTGATTTGGGGGAAGAATAAGTTAGGCATTTCTGAAAAGTGGAAAGGGGGGATAGGCAGAGAAGTTTTTTGCAGGAAGGCCCTGAGGAAGGAAAGTCTTGAGGGGAACTTTAAGAATGTCAGAGGGTCGGGAGCAGCATGGGGGAGGGGCACAGGATAAATTAGAGCATCAAAGCATACTGAGGGTTCAGGATGTGATCTGATTTGTCTTTAGGAAAGACTGCTCTTGTTGCTACAGTATTCCACGCTACACTTTATGCTGGTTTAGACTAGAAGGTGGAGCAAAGGGAAAGAAGTTGATAGATACCAGGTATATATTAGACCTCTTAGGACTGGGAGGGAGAAGAAGCCATCATGGATGAGTGCTAGGTTTGTAGTTCAAGAAACCTGCTAGATAGAGGTATCATTTATTCATTGATTTAGGAAAAACTATTCAGAGCAGTAGTCCTTGGAGAAAGCAACCTATTAGTTCTGGACATATTAGAATTCTGTGAGGAGAAAAAAGTCCTAAGGATTTTTAAATCGGTTGGGACTTTCTTAGTGATGACAGATAATCTAACCCATATTAAGCAGAAAAGAAATTTCTTGACATTCAGGACTAAAAAGTTGAAGAAAATGGGCTTCAGGTCCACAAATGTTGTTAGGACCTGGTTTTACTCTATGTCTTGGCTCTCTTTTTTTGTCTCGGCTCCTGTCGCACAAGCTCTCTCCCCTGTGGGGGACCTCCTCAACTCTTCCCAGGGATAGTCTCTTTAGGAGCTCCCTAAAAAGGCCCAAGATTCATTCTGACTCGGTGGGCCTATGATGGCAAGACTGGAGGGGAATTTCAGGCTGTAGCCAACCCTGAGCCCGTCACTGTGCCCAGAGGAATGTCAAGATCTGATTGGCTAGTCTGGGTCTTGTGCTCTGCCCAGATTGAAGGACTCAGAGTGGGAGAGGCAAGGATCCCTGGAGAAAAATCTGCAGCTATTGCTCTAAACAAGGGAATAGATGTGGGGGTTGGGATAATAATATATATCCTCTGTGAGATCCTCCTAAAACTCTCCCTTAGCAAAGAGTCCAAATTATTTATGGGTCTGCTATGGGTCTGGGGTTGAACCACAGATTCAGCCAGTATCTGTAAACCTCACAAGGCCATTTTCTAAGTACAAAAGCGGCTCAATGCAGGCAGGAGTTGTGATCCTCTGCAGCACATAAAAGAATGTGGAGAAAGGCAAAGTTCCTCTGAAAATCACCTCAAAAGCCATTGTCATTCTTCTGAGGAATAGTAAGGATTGGATATAAAATAACACGTGCTGATTCATCTGTTGTCGACCCCATGATTGCAGAGGAAACTTTTCAGGCAGCCATTTGACTACTTTTAGACTGAAAAATTTTCCAAATGATCGTACTCTAATTTTCACTTTGGGTTAACTAGTGTTTGTGGGAATACAGAGTTAAGACAATGCCTGTGGGAATCTAGCAGAGAAGATCAAGCAAATACACCACCACATAGGGAATTGTGCAACAATGGACATGCATACAAAACAAAGCAACGGTACAGAGTCCTAATTCTGCTGTCAGAAAAGCTTTCGTGAGGTGAAGATGGATCCTTTAGTGAGTTTGAAGAAGTTCACCGAAATGGGAAAAGATGGCAGATATTTCCCACAGAGGGAAGAGCATGAGCAGCATTTTGGAGACTGATAGCACTGCATGCTTTGGGAGGCAGTGTGAGTTCAGAGGTTAGATTACATCTGTTCCTCTCTAACTTTATTATAAAGTATAATTCCTTTCTCATGGATTATTAGGAGAATTAAACAAGAATGTAAAGTACTCAGCTCAGCCATATAAGAGATCAGCCTTAACCATCACTGTTAGTACTAGCCCAACCTGAGAGAAGTGTGAAGGGGTCATGGTGGGGGATGAGGCTGAGAGAGATTAGGAGTCAGATCATAAAAGGCTTTGAAGGCTCCACTAAGGAATACAGCTCTTATCCTGTAGGCTTTGGAGAGCCTTTTAAATGACTCTGAAATGACCTGATCAGATCTGTGTCGCTGTTAGAAGAATGAGGGTGGAGACATAGACCAGCTAGGAGGCCAGTGCAGACACCTAGTGAAGGAATGACAAAGGCATGAGTTACAAGGCTTAGTGGTTGTGGGAAGTGTGTAACTGTGTGTGGTTGGGGGTGGGGGGTAGTGTTTCAGTGGGCAGGTGCTATGAAGACAGACTAAGGAACTATTTAGGAGTGATTATACAGCATCACTGGGCACAAATTCCAGCAAGTTATGGTGGTTAACCAAATGGGCCCCTGGCCTGTGAACCCTGGGATCAGACTCGGTATCTTGGAGTGATGTTTATGCCCCAAATAGAACTATATTGGAAATGGCTACTTAATAGCAACCTAACATGGGAAAATTCCCAAAGAAGCAGCACAGAGAGTCAGGCACATGAACAAAGCACAGCATTCTTGTCCAAACAGGTCTGGAGTTGAGCCATAGCCTAGGAGGAACAGAGCCACCTACCAGGTTTTTCTTTATCTTAACCTGCCAGGGAGACCACAAAAAATTCCCCTTTTAGTCCCCTTTCTTCCTGGGGAGGGGACTAGATCGAAAGCCCAGGACCTGTCCCTGGCAAAAGAGAAAGAAGCAGAAACTCAATTATTGGGTCTATACTAAGTGCCAAAGCCTGGTCCCTGATACTTTATGGACTTTATCTGGCATAATTATCACAATAATACAAATGTTTCCTAGTTGTCCAAATCAAAAGCTCGTGCTCTTCCTTCCTGTTTAAGAGAGTGACGGGTTAAATGGGCACCTCTGTCCCCTTCCCACTCCGTCTAACAGGGTGCTCAGCACAAAATAGGAGCTCAGTAAATATTTCAGAGAATAGTGAAAGAATGTGCCTTATACAACTATACTTCTATATCTCAGGTAGCTTCTTCCACCCCACTAGCTATGCAGGTCCTCCCCATCTTTCAGTGCCCAGTTCCAAAACCACCTTATCACATCAGCTCATCTCGCCCTCATCAGCCCACACTGCTTTCCCTGGCTCTGAGGGAACACACAGAGCCCTGAGCATCTTGAACAAGTCCTTCGATACTCTCCTTCCTGCCTGAGACCTGCCAGAGGTGGACTCTGTGTCAGGCCCAAGGATGGAAAATAGAATGTTGGCTTCTCAGGACATTATCACTCCATAGACAGTCTGGCCTTAAGGCAATGTGGTTTTTTTTGGAGGACCCCGAAATATAGTTTGCCTTTTTCATTGTAGTTGTTCTTTCTCTAGAAAACAGAAAGAGAAGTTCCTCAAAGTCAGGGTTAAGTTTACTTGAAAGTCACTGTCCTGCCCTTATCAACCACCTACCGGTGTCCTGCACAGAGGGTGAATTCCTTGCCTTCCTGGACTGTCCCCAAAGTTGGGCCTGCTTTTGCTATCTCTTTGTTTTCAAGTTTTATCCTTTGTATTGAACTCTGATTCTCAGGGACCACTTCCTCCGGAGGGCTTGGAGCTGTCATTGAAGTATGAGCCCTGGGTCACAGGTGCAGATCAGGACCCTAAGTTTATCCTCTGTTTTGTCTCCTATTTGTGTTGTGGGCTTTGGCAGACTTGGACTACTACTTGAGTGCTTTGTATCCATCTCCACACCCGTGCACACGAAGCTGACCAAATATCCCTCAAGTTTGTTAGAGACTTACAAAGTGCCTGTCTATGCCTTAGATCATTTGAGCCCCACAATGGCCTTATGATCAAGGCAAGGACAGTGTTACTACTTAATAACATTTTTTTCCCTGCATACTTTTGTAGAAAATTTGAGAACTTTAGAAAGTATGTAGGAGTGGGGAAAAAACCTTCAGCGACTAAGAATCCCACAGCCAGTCAATATTTTTACTTATTTCCTTCCAAATTTTTATGCACTTACATACATTTGTTTTCTATTCAGTCCTCTTCCACTGTCTACCCTGCAACTGTTCATCTTCATTATTTTCTAGGTCAGATATTATCCTTAATTTACAGATGATGACAATTTAAGCTCAAGGTCACAGAACTGGTAAGTGGCAGAACTGAACAGTTTTTCTTGTTGTCAGTCTAATGCAATAGTAGGAATTTGATACATAATTATTGAATTCAGGAAGAGAAATAAGATTATTTGCAGGATGTTTGTGTAAGAGACAACCTGGAGAGTGTGGTAGATCCGCCTAAAATGTCAGATCAGCAATCTGATGGAAAGGGAGCTTAGAAGAAACCAACTTTGATGAAACAAAAATAGAGGCTTTGATTATTTTTTCTCCCCCTGTACCATCAAACAGATACTGAAAAGTTAAAAAACATGATGCAGTTGGCAGAGCCAAGGATCAGAGATGTCATCAACAGCATGGAGCATGCTATCGTTTCCCGGAGCCCTCGTATCCGCTACAATCCTGGCTTGGATGCCAAACTCCTCTACCTCCCTTTGGCTAAGTTGCCCACCCCTGTGACAGATTTCATCCTGAGCCGGTACCTTCCAAGGCCAGCAGATAGTGTCTGAGCTGGGGAAGCCCAAGGCGTGACCAGTGGAGTATAGAGGAGGGGACTGGGAGAAGGGACTGTGAAGTCACAAGAAGTGGCATCGAATATTCTGGGGCACTTTGCTTGGCTGATATTCACTGCTAGCGAATTTCTGGATAACTTCTAACAGAAGATAAGCACTTCTTGTCACTCACTGGGACCCCACAGAAACCTGAGGTGGCCTTTGCATTTTCAAAGACCTGCAACATGGCCCTAAGAACATCTGCCGCTCAGTCAGGATGTGGCTTTTTCTGGATCTAGACAAGTCAAAGAGAGGAAAACTAACTCCTGTTGAATCATGAGCCTCCCTCAGTTATCACTGCCACTGGGAAATATTGTAGCATAATCTATCCTATAGGAGAATCTCAACCACTTTCCTATTGGGTCTCTTAATATTCATTAACTTCATTCACATAACCCAGTATTTGAAGTATGTAGTAGGGCAGACAGGGAGTACAAGATTATGTCAGACAAAAGTTTATAATATTTTCTCTCTTTAGATTTCTCTATCCATAGATGATTGGGGTCCACATGAGATACTATTCATTTATTTAATCACCATTGATTAATTCTTCAAATATTTATTGCATGCCTAGTACAATACTAGGAACTGTGTAGGTGCTGGAAAGATATAAAATGATTAAATCATGGTCTTGGTTTATTTTGTGTTTTTGTTTTTGTTTTTCAGCACAATATCTAGCAGTAGAGATAGGACAAACAATGATAGAAGAAACGGAATAGAAAATCAGATTTTTAGAGCAATGGAGGATCTTAGAGATCATCTAATTCAGTGGTTCTCAAACTCAGCTATCTATCATAATCACCTGGTTAATTAAATGTACAGATTTATAGGCCTCAATGTTAGAAAATCTGATTCAAGAGGCTTGGCATGGGGCTCTGAAATCTGTGTTTTTAACAATGACCTAAATGTTTCTGATGTACCTGGGCACTCGGGAGCTGCTGATAGTTCCATAGAAGTAACTAATGCTCAGAGAAGGATGTGACCTACCCGAAGCCCTGCCAGCATAGTGGCCAAGACAGAACTCAGCTGTTCAGAGTCATAGACTAGGGTTTTAATTATAGGAGAATACAATTCTGAAATTAGTGACATTGTCAAGTAAGTCATTGAACTAAAATTTTAAAAAAGCCTTAAACTTCTAAGCCATATGAAGTTCTATTAAAAAGATTTTTTTTTTGATCTTGAGGAATGGTCATGTAATAAAGGTCAAATGTGAATTTTTTTATGAAAATGTCTTTAATTTGTGTCTCTTCACCATCTGGCTGAACTTGAAAATAATGAAATGTAACTTAATTACATCTGAGAAAGAGCCCTTTTCCAGATAAGATAACATTCCCAGATTCAAGGGATTAGGATGTAGACATATCTTTGTGGGGGTGCATCATACAACTCACCGAGTCTGTTATTTGCAGCACTTCTTTTCTTCGCACCAAATTCTATATCAGATAAAATGCATTGAGCAGCAAGTAACAGAAAAGCCAACTCACATTGGCTTAAACAATTACGAAAGAATTGGGGCAGGACCCTGTAGCTAAATGATGGCATCAAAGATGCAGGTTCTTTCTGCTGTTTTGCTCTGCCAGCCACAGTTTTGACTTTAATCTAAATTTAATTATCTTTTGTTGTGGTATGACTGCCAGTGGCAACGGGAATTCTGTGCTTCCTTATTCACAATTTACAGAAGAAAGAGCCTGTCTTTCCATGGCATTAAAGATTGAAGAAGTTTCTTTCCCAGAGCTCTTACCAAGGCTCTCCTTGAATCTCATTAACTCAAACTGATTTAAGTTTGTTCGTTCCTGAACCAATCACTGACAAGGGAGTAAATTGCCATGAATTATTTCGATTAATCATGGGACAGAATGGGAATGTTGGGAAGTCAGTCATAGTTCCTACTGCCCTGGAAAATTCAAAACCCAGACTCTGTGCTAGTTATTGAGAGAAATAAATCTGGGTCAAAAATAAATTTACTTTTTTTTTTTTTATGGTGACATTGGTTAATGGAATCCAAGTAAGTTTCAGATGTACAAGGCATATATATATATTGCATTGTGTGTTCACTGCCCATAGCTAGATTTCTTTCTGTCATCTCATATTTGACCCCTTTTACCCCATCTACCTTTCCCCCTCCCCTCTGCCTCCCTTAAATTTACTTTTTGAAGACACAAAAATTTACTGCAAGAAGACTATGGCTAGTTAATATCTTGAGATATTAATTTACACATTTATATTGCTCCTGGTTTCCTATTTCTGCTTTGCCCACTCAAGTAGGAAGCCAATTTGATATTTCTTTACCTAGAGTATTTTGCAAAATAGAATAAATACATTTCCTGCACTTTCTTCGGCTTTAGTTTCCCCAACTCTAATATCTTTAGAGAAATTGCAGAATTTGGGGAAAGAAGCAAAAGAGAATGTGACTTTGGGGTGCATATAATGTCTCAGAGAAGCAAAGCCTTTCCCCTAAGACAAGGAGATTCATTCTGGTTGATGAGAGAAGAGGGTGAGGTTTGGAGCTTCCAGAGCAGGAGGGACCAGGGTTTACTTTCTGGAAGTACGTTGGGGAGGTGGTACTGTGTGTTCAGGCAGATGAGACCCTGGGAGACCTCACAGAAGACCTCTCTGTCTCATCATGGTAGGAAGGCAGTAGAGATTCATTAGCTATAAAGGGCATTTAGACCGGGACAGCAGACACTTAAGAGGCAACCTATGCCTCTTAGATGAAGGCTATCCTATCACCCCATCATTAATAGTTGAGGTATTTTTTGGATTTGTGAGATTCAGCTCTGCTTCAATATTACATTTTAGTTTATTTAATATTAGGATCATAACTTATCCTACAGCTTTTGTATTTTCCTAGAGTTTTAAAATGATTTCCTTTTCTTATTCACTTATTCAGCCTCTTAATCAAATTATTTCTACTTTTATTTTTTTTAGCAGGGGAGTAATGTGATCTTATTGCAGTTGGTTCGTGTGTGTGTGTGTGTGTGTGTGTGCGTGCGTGCGCACGCGCACGTGCACGCGCATGCGTGCGTGCTCAAATAAACTTTAATTACACGAACGATTACTTTTGCTAAACCCAGTCCTTCTCTTTCTCCCCTAGGGGCATTCAGTTGCATCACCATAATAAAGTTAGAATACGATGGAACCACAGTGTCAGAGCTCAAACAATACATATTTCACATACATACTCACTGGCCCATCAAGTTCTCCTCAGCTCCTAATACTACTTTAAGTTTTGTATTCTGCTGCCAACGTAGGGGAGGGAGGGTCAAGGGCTAGAGTCTAAGCAGTCTCAAAATGTATTGTGCAAAACCTCAGGTCTTCCTCCTCCCTCTAGAAGTTCCAAATGTAACAGAAATGAAGATGGAACTTCTCAAGAATAAAGTTTCCAGTACTAATCCCCTCGATATCCTCCAAGTGCCTCTTCCCCTTTGGTCTTGGTTAAAACCGGCCCAATGATTATAAAGGATTAACTAGGAATCAGAAGTGTGCAGATTAAGGCAGATGGACTTAGAGTGAGGATAGCGGCAGCTGTGTGGGGCAGAGTCTAGCACTGAGGTGCTGGAGAAGGAGGGCTCTGTTCTCGCTCTGACACAGTAAAGCACTTCCTGAGGGAGCCAGAGCCCAGACTCTGTATGTGCTGTAGAGAAAGGGCCAACTCGACTGCACCACTTCTCCAGCCAGAGATAGAAAGGATTTACTCTGGAAAGATTCTGTAGAGCCCTAAGAACAAACAAGTTATGGGTGAGCAAAGGAGGGAGAGATATCACAGTGATGAATAAATTTAAAACTGAAAGGGAAGACCCCAGGGTCTTCAGTCTGAGAAAGGCCTGGAAACAGGAAAGCAGAGGGGCTGAAGGAAGCAAGTCAGGGAAAAGTACATTAATAGTAGCCTATGAAAATTGGCAGTAGTGAGTGGGGAGGGAGAGAGTGACTGTATGCCTAGCTTTCACATGGTAGGGGAGAGGCAGATGACTAAGATAACTGAACAAAGGACTGAATTGTGGGAGCTAGAAGTTGCTAGGGACAAAGTTAAAAGGTTTCAGACACTTTCAGC